AAAACAAAATTTAAAGAGATAATGGTTGAGAATTCCCTAGATCAAACATAAGAGCATTCATAGTAGAAATGTTTTTTGAGTACTGAGCAAGGTAAACAATGACCAGGGGAAAATAAAGGAGCAATTTTTGAAATTGAACACTGAAAATAAATTTTTACTCATATTATATCTCATCTCTTCTTTTTATTATATGCATTATGCTGTTCACAATATACAAAGCATAGTGTACACACATAAATATTTTTTTGCTGATCGTGGTACACAATCACTAAAGTTTAAAACTCACTGATATTTATATCTTTTTTTTCTTTTTTCCTTTTTTTCTTTTTTTTATTGTCAAATTAGTTTCCACATAACACCCAGTGCTCATCCCCACAAGTGCCCTCCTCCATGCCCATCCCCCCACCCCCCACATCCATCAGTCCTCAGTTTTTGTCAGCATTCAAGAGTCTCTCATGGTTTGCCTCTCTCCCTTTCCCCCACCATTTCCGCCCTTCTTCTCCCCCTTGTTCCTCCGTCAAGTTCCTCCTAATCCTCCTATACGTGCAAACATATGATATTTGTCCTTCTCTGCCTGACTTATTTCGCTCAGCATAACACCCTCAAGGTCCATCCATGTTGCTACACATGGCCAGATTTCATTGTTTCTCATTGCCATGTAGTATTCCATGGTATAGATAAACCACATCTTCTTGATCCATTCATCTGTTGATGGACACTTAGGCTCTTTCCATGTTTTAGCTATTGTGGAGAGTGCTGCTATGAACATTGGGGTACATGTGCTCCTATGCCTCAGCATTTCTGTATCCCTTGGGTAAATTCCTAGCAGTGCTATTGCTGGGTCATAGGGGAGTTCTATTGTTAGTTTCCTGAGGAACCTCCACACTGTTTTCCAGAGGGGCTGTACCAGTTTACATTCCCACCAACAGTGTAGGAGGGTGCCCGTTTCTCCACATCCTCGCCAGCATCTAGAGTTCTCTGATTTGCTCATTTTAGCCACTCTGACTGGCGTGAGGTGGTATCTCAGTGTGGTTTTGATTTGTATTTCCCTGATGAGGAGGGATGCTGAGCATCGTTTCATGTGTCTGTTGGCCATCTGGATGTCCTCTTTGGAGAAGTGTCTGTTCATATCTTCTGCCCATTTCTTCACTGGGTTGTTTGTTTTTCGGGTGTGGAGTTTGGTGAGTTCCTTATAGATTCTGGATATTAACCCTTTATCTGATATGTCATTTGCAACTATCTTTTCCCATTCCGTTGGTTGCCTATTAGTTTTATGGGTTGTTTCCTTCGCTGTGCAGAAGCTTTTAATCTTGATGAGGTCCCAATCATTTATTTTTGCTCTTGATTCCGTTGCTTTTGGGGATGTGTCAAGAAGTTGCTGCGGTGGAGGTCAATATTTATATCTCATAAGTATAATCTTAGGGTTTTTTAAATAGGTAATTAAGCTCAACGAGAACTGTTGGAGCTTGATATATCTTGAACCTCGTTTGTCCTGAAAGTAGACCATAGAATTCTTCATATTAATGCTGACTGATAAGACAGCACAGTGTAGAGTGAGGAATCCTGTCAGACTAAGAAGATAGAATAATGATTATTTTGCAGTCAGTCATGGGCATGATGTTGGACTGCTCTTTGAGTGGCAATTGGATGGTTCAATTTTGGAAGCCCAGATGGCCAGCAAGAACCTGACCAAAAGTGTCTAGAGCAATACTTGTAGCATAATAACTGATAAAACCTTTACGTTTAAAAGTGTTGTCCCTGATTTTGTCAGAGTTCCCAAGGGTTTAGGAAGCCTAATCTTCCTTGAGAGGCCAAGTACTCAAAGAGGAAGGGTCTTAAAGTGAATGCTATGATTAGCAGAAAAGAAGGAAGCTCAAGAAAACCAAGCCTAATAGTGGTCAATGCCAATGCACTACACAGAGAGGCATGGAAATAATAGTGCAGCAGTGGGTTAGGGATACCTGCCATGATCAGAAATTCAAGCCTATGTTAAGGTAATTTCTCTGGGGAAAATTTAACTCCTAGAACCTTTGCATCCAGATTGCAAGATCTGGCAAGATCCCTAAGAAGTGGCAAATAGGGATTGCAGATGGAGAGCAAACACTCAAAGACCAGAAATATCAATCTCTTACCATTGGAAGCAAGTACAGTATGGGGCACCTCGGTGGTTCAGTCGGTGAAGCATCTGACTTTGGCACAGATCATGATCTCACTGCTCGTGAGTTCAAACCCCGCATTGGGCTCTGTGCTGACAGCTCGGAGCCTGGAGCCTACTTCAGATTCTGTCTCCATCTCTCTGCCCCTCCCCTGCTCACACTCTGTCACTCTGTCTCTCTCTCTTTCAAATAAATAAAACATAAAAAATTTTAAAATAGAAGCAAGCACACTATGACAAATTCTTCTTGAGGCAGGACTGATGTTTAGGTGAGACCACAGTTGTTTTGTACAATCACTTATAAGGCACGCAGTTTATAAACTTTTCTCAAAGACAAATTTGCTCTGAGTTCTATACATGGGAAGTTCTTACTTTCCATTCATTTTCTCACTCAAATCAATCTAATTTCTGCCCTCACCATTCTACTAAAAATGCTTATTATAATCCACTGATAATTTTAGGTTGGCAAAGCGAATGCACACTTTTTAATCAGCATCATTTCACAAAGTTGAGCTTATGCTTTCGTTAAGAAGATATTTTATTCCACAGACTGCTGTTCCAGGCACTCTCATGGATTTTTTTCCTACCTCTAAGCCACTCCTCCTCAGGCTTCCTCTTCTAAAAGATTTCTAAATATTAGATTTTGGCTTTATCTTGGACCCGCTTCTGACCCCTCAGTCTAGATGAGATCATTGAACACCACCTATATGCAAATAATTCCTAGATTTATATGTTCAGTCAAGATCTCTCATCTGTGTTCCAGGACTGCTCAACTCCCCCCATACTGTCTCCATTGGATTGTCTCGCAGGTATTGCAAATATGTTAAAAACTGCACTCCTCATACCCCATTTCCCCTGAAATCTCATACCCCAGATTTCCCTAATCTGACCTTTGGTTAACTTGCTAGCTCTGTTCCCTGGGTAACCTGATCAGAACAACATGTTAACCATATTTTTAGGCAGAATTGTTTATGATAAAATGACCTTGGGTTTCTAAACCAAGTCTTGACTATGAGTAATGCATATACCTCATGTAAACATCATAGCTTTGGGCTTCCCTGAATATGGTGATTCTTGTAATTGGACATCTTCCTTGCAGAAATATGACAGCGATTGCCTGGGCTAAATGACTTGCTGAAGAAGTAGCCTGAAATCACATATGACCCTGAAGCTCTCTAAGGCTGCTAGGTGCAGTTTTGATATCATCAGTTTCTCAGGGCTGTGGGTAGAACAAAGTTATTGATTGTGAGACATGTACTTCTTCAGTGGATTTGATACCCAAATTAAAATCAACTCTCAATTAATCTAGAACAGATGTATGGATCTAATCTATCACAGCTCAATTTTTAAAGAGTTGTCCCTGAGATAGGAGTGGAGGGCTGATGTGTTGGTCGGGAACCCAGCTGGGTTCTGACCATGACACTGAATGGGTCTGCAGCCACTGATCTGGGAACAGAAGAAGCCACTTCATTCTCCCTCTTCCAAACAACCACTGTGGCTGACCCTAACCCTTCCTCTGGATGATCTTATCACTTAATCATTTGAAAGATGATCAAACGCTTCTGAGATACTGTTATGATAAGGCGAAAGTAGAAATATCAGTGTAGGTTAACAAGTGAGGGAGTGATGGAAAATGCTCCTATAACCCAGTGTCTTAGGAAGAAAGAAGTCACCACAATTTTTGCAGCACACTTTATAGAGGAGAGAGAACTAAAGTGTGAGTGAAACCAATTGCAGTGACTTAGAGGAGAGTCATTATTTCAAGAAAATCACATTATTCCTCCCCCTCTCTTTTAGAGATTTTAGAAGTAGGAGGGACAATTTCCTGATCTTTTGTAGGTTACAAGAAAAAGAAAAAGGAAATTATTTCAGTCATGTATTACACTGTTCCTGTAGGCTTCCCTAACTTAGAATCCTGTTGCCTTCATTCTTAATGCACAATAAAATAAAGTACTCCATGGGGCGCCTGGGTGGCTCAGTTGGTTGAGCGACCGACTTCAGCTCAGGTCATGATCTTACGATTCGTGGGTTCAGGCCTGTGTCAGGCTCTGTGCTGACAGCTAGCTCAGAGCCTTGAACCTGTTTAAAAATTCTGTATCTCCCTCTCTCTCTGACCCTCCCTTGCTCACACTGTCTCTGTCTCTGTCTCTCTCTGTCTCTCTCAGAAATAAATTTTAAAAATTTTTTAAATTAATAAACTAAAGTACTCTTTTTGGTTTTATCTGTTGAGTCAATTTATGGATTATTTAGGAAAATCTGTTCCAATATCTAGAAGAAATGTTTTGCTTGATTTTTATCTACAAATAAACCAATATAATACCAAAATGTATTATATAATTCGATTATCCATTTCAGTTTTTAAATATAGTCCAGACAACTTTTGGTCTTTTCAGAAAATAACAAACCAATTGTCAGAGTGCAAATGTGAGACACCACTGAGAATGCATTTGCTGATAAAATATAAAAAATTAACCTTATACCGAATTTGGAAGCCAGACTTATTACAATCCCTTCAATCAAAGACAAAACATTTAGGCAACAACAATAGCTGCAGCAAGAATAAAAACCTGACAATTCCAAAAACAATCAAAGAATAGTTTCAATGACTTTAACTTCACACACTCATAATAAGACTTGTAAATAACTTGCAGAATGCAGACTGTAAGCTGCTCGTTAATGATAAAACATGAAATCTAATTATCAGAGATTTCAAATGAAACTTCATTTTGTAAATACATTAAAAATTCATCGTCAACAGAGCAATGAATCCTTCATTTCTTGCAGGGTAAAGAGGACTCACTAGGTAGAATGATTCGTGTGGAAACACATTTAATTTCTTGGTTACATGCAGTACAATGTCACTAAAGTAGAAGCATTTGTGAACTGCCTGAAATCTTCCAGTGTGCCAGGCCCTGCTCTCAGCGAGTGGTAATAAACCCTGGAGTTTCCATGCTGAGATTTGATACCACATATTCCGATGTTTCTTCAACTTAAAAAAAAAAAAAACAAGTAAATCTTATCATGCACGTGTCTTGGTCCATTAGGGCTGCTCTACCAAAGTATTATAGACAAGGTGGCTTATGAACAAGAGAAATTTATTTCTCATAGTTCTGGAGACTGAGAAGCCCAAGGTTAAGGTGTTGGCAGATTTAGTGTCGAGAGCCTGTTCCCAGGTTCATAGATTGTTATTTTTATCTATCATCCATCCATCTATCTATCTATCTATCTATCTATCTATCTATCTATCATCTATCATTAGTGTCCTCACATGGCAGAAGGGGAAGGGAGCATTCTGGGGCATCTTTTAAAAGGGCATTAATCCCATTTGTGAATGTTGTACTCTCATGACCTAACACCTCCCAAGCCCCACCTCCAAAGGCCATCACATTAGAGATTAGTGGTTTCAACACATGAATTTTAGGAGTACATATTTGGTTTAAAGCAGCATATAGTCTAACAGAAGATGAGAAACTCCTATATCACCTGCACACCTCTATTTGCCACATTCTGAATGATTTAAGTACATTTCAGCAAGAGCAGAGGTGAAGTGTATTAAAATTCAACCAACATTTTTATTGAGAACTAACAGTGTAGTGACCACTGTGGTGGGCATTGGTGTGCTGAAATGAAAATCCTCGGTCTCTGAGAGGTTTATGATATAGATGGGGAAATAAAGACCCATAAAAGCACCTTTTGAGGGGACTGGGAATTTTTATGTTATATTTTATATACGCATATCTTTCTTGAAAAATATAGGCTAGTTAACTCCTTTAAATTTGAGTTCCTTTTCTCTCTGCACTGTGTCATTAAGCCTTTGTTGCATATGACTTTGACCTGGGATTGTTTCTTGAAGTTATACTTTGACCTCCATCATTAGTTCCTTGCAAGATTTGTGTTTATGTATCTAATCACTTCTCCTTCCCTTCTCCTCCATGACGTGTTAGCCCACACAGAATAGATGCTCAGTCAATACTTGTCACTTGTTTGATTGTATCCTTGATGGAGGTAAGTTGGGCACAAAAGAAGTTGGTGGGAAGAGGTCAGAATCTGACATGTAGTTGAGAGTGCTGATATTGGCAGAAAACATATTGGTAGTCTGAGAAATCATAGGGAGGTGTCTGATGGAAAGGAGTGGAATGTGTTATGAAACGGTAAGAGATAAAGCCATCTAACTAGCTGGCAGTCTTGAAGCCAGGGCTATGAAGTCTTGTTATTATTGGCTTTATAAACATGGTATTTTAGGAATATTAACTTGACATTGGTGTGCTAAAGGGATTTAAGTGGTGTTGCTAGTTGGACACGTCCCATTCATTCATATGAATTTACCATTCTTTCAAAATCAGTGAGATTAAGCTGGATTTGAAGTATTAATTCATTGTGGTGTTATTTTTTTGTTTCAGGTTGTCTTGATTGATTTCTCACCTCCATTTAGAGTAATGGAATCTAATTGAAGGGCTTTTAAGTAAACAACTCAGCCACACTGATGTGGGTGATTTTTTATAACGTTTTTGAAATTCCAGTGACTATTTTTTCCTTTTATCTAGTCTCAGTGCCATTTACATTTGGAAGAATCAACACATGAAATCCGCCTAGCCTCTTCAAACATAAAAGTGACTGTGAATATGTTATTTGTCTTCTTAAGCCATATTTTTCTCTACAGCCTTGAACCTAAGTGAGAAGACTTAGAAGAGAGTGTTTAGTCAATAACTTTACTATTCTTTTATTTAGTCATTTGAAAGAGTACTTGGTGTTTAAGGGAAATATTTTTCTTTGGAAAAATAGGTAAGAAAGAAAAAACTCAAGCAATATGCTATGGAAGTGTCTAAACAAAAGATGCTTTGCATAAGGAAATAAGTTGTAGGAATAGATGCCCTGAAGAAAATATAAATGTCTTTTTTTACTTGAAAGTGTACAGCTAAAATGTAGCATGAGTTGCATATGCTTCCATAACACCAGCCAGTGTTTCTGTATAATTTTTTTACAAGGTCTGATAAGAAACTTTCCTTGTTAAATGTGTATGTAGCTCCTGAAATAAATGCAATTTAAGTAGATGTTTTAGAATGTTTCCCTCTGAGCCCTTGTTCTTCACTTCAGCCCATTCTTCCTGCTTTAGCTTTCTCTGGCACCACAGCCTAAAGAAACACATTCAGATTCCCAGGGGAATTCAGCATCACTGTAAGCTGACCCCACCCTCTATCCTGGCCACTTGCTTTAAATCCACTGTTTTGTCTGCCACTTGACCGCAGCAATTAGCAGTGTGTGGCATGGGGTTGGCATTCAGTTAACACTTATTGAATGAAAATGGTTGAAGGTCCTTATAGTTGCTCCAACTTGTCTTGTCACTGGTAAACTTTTGCTCTTCAAGGTAAATGACTGTATAGTTTCTTATTCATCTCCATCACATTTCTTCTTCCCTCCTACTCACCCCAGTTTGTTTGTTGTTTTCTTTTTCATTACTTCTGGTTTTATTTTCACCTTTTCAGTTTTGATGTCTAACCTTTCATTTCCACTGGAGATTCTCCTATATTCAGTTCTTTAAATATTGAACCCCTAAAGCTTCATCAAGTTGGGTCATATCTAAATCTGTTTTCTAAAATGTTACCCTGATTATCTCTGATCTAATTAATTTTTAAGAATTGAAGTAAATTTGACATATATTAGTTTCAAGTGCACAACATAGTGGTTTGATCTTTGTGTTTATTTGACCTAGCTAAACTTTACCACCATGGCTATTATCTAGAATGGGGAGAGGGAGAAGGAAAAGTGACTGATGGATGGTGCTTAAACATTGCTCTGGTGACAACACATTTGTTCTCTCCCTTTGAAAGTTGCTGTGTTTCAAACATATTGTGTATAATGAGGGCTGATTCTTACCTAAATTAAACTTGCTGTGTCTATTGGTTCTTTCCATTCATATATACACAGTTTTTCTTTGCAATCATCCACAAACAACATTCTATTTCTGTGACTTATGAACTGTTTTCTTTCTTATAACTATAGAATACCAGTCTTTGGGACAGTGAGCTGAGACACAGTGGTCTACTGAGATTGGGAAGACCCAGTCTTTTTGCAATTTCTTGAAGAAACTTATGGCAAAGTCAGGGAAATATGATACTCGTCTCAAGAATACCAGGGACTAGTTGAATGACTGGGGGATTCAGCGGCTATACCCTTCTGGGCAAAAGTGACTGAAACACAAATTTCCTGCACATGAACTTATGTCTAAGGGTTGGAGTCTGGTTGTTACACAACCCTGTGGAGAGAAAGCATCTATGTTCCATTGAGGAAATATATTTAGTAACTACCTCATGCTTGGAGATATACTAGTGTCTTTATAAAACATAAGTAAGTCATCTATTTCTCCAGACAACCTTGTAAGATATTTATTAGGTCCAGTGTACAGAGGAGGCAAAGGTATTATTAAGAAAGTTAAAAACATTTTGCCCAAGTTAAATAGTCCTAATGTGTCATTGGACTAGGATTTGTTCACATATTTGTCTATACTTAGGCTGTAGAACAGAAGCAAAACAAAGCAGACAAACTCCAGGTGAATGACTAAATGAGGGAACATACCTATGAAAGAAAACAGATCTCTAGGAAACCAGTTCCCATGTGGTAGGAAAAAGATGATAGAAAATGATGGACATAACAGCAAAACATTCAGCTTAGAGTCTGTGATGCTCGTATCAGTTCTTTGGCATAAGAATATTATAGGACCACCTGGATGGCTCAGTCAGGTAATCATCTGACTCTTGATTTCAGCTCAGGTCATGATCTCACAGTTCATGAGTTTGAGCCCCATGTGGGGCTCTGTGCTGACAGTGTGGAGTCTGCTTTGGATTCTTTCCCTCTCTCTGCCCCTCTCTCGATCATGCTCTCTCTCAAAATAAATAAATAAACTTAAAAAACAAAAGAATATCAATAGACTCTCTGACAAGAAAGCGAATGTTACAGGGTTTTAGACTGGAGTTAGCTGTGGGAGCCTCAAAAATGTGTTGCTTGGGGTGTAAATGCTTTTAAATTTCTAGTACTTGCTGGGAAGGCCAACATTGCTCAAGAAAATCACCACTGTTTCAATAAATATGTCTCTGCCCATACTGATCTTGAAGTAGACTACACAAAGATCCCTGGAGGAGGGCAGCTGAAGTGTGTATCACTGTCTTAGGTGCCTGCTTTTTAGATTTTTCACTCGGAGGTCATATTTGACACTATCTTTGTTGTTGTTAGTTTTTTCTCTGTAATCTGTGGCGTTGTCTCCTTATCAACAGTTACACAGGCTTCTTGGATTCACCCACTCTGGGAGATGACGAACTTCTCATTTTAGATGCTGCACTGGATGAAAACCTTATAGCCTCTATGTATAAAGTTTAGATCTTTCAAACATGAGTTCTAAATGTGGTGAAAATCTTACCAGCTTCATTTTATCTATATAGCTTTTTCTTGAATAATTTCCCTTTTATTCTTAATGTTTAGGAAGGTTCCACATTTGTGAAAGTCCAATCCCATAGTACAAAAGAGAACCAAAGGAAGTTTTGCCCAAACTTTGATGAGCAATTTAACAGGAGACAATGCCAGCAAAATTTGGAAGAAAAGACCATGGGAAGGGCAAACCTGGGAGACAAAATCAGTGCAGCTCCATCTGCTTTCCCCATCCATCTCTTTCAGGCACCAGATTTTATTTCAATAAGGAATGTGATCCCTGAGGGAGGAAAGACAAACTAGGCTGACAGTGTGGTAATCGGAAACCTCTCTCTTTCTCAACATCGCCACAAAATAGTCCTCATCTGAGAGTTGGGTAAATATTCCACGCCGCATGCCAGGAAGGACTTGGGAAGCCTCTATACCAACAAGAAAATGATATTTTATCTTACTCTTCAGTGAATCCGTTGATTATATTGTTTAAAGAAAATTGCTATCTGAAAGCTCTAGAATAAAGTAATAAAAGTGAAAAAAGAAAGAACCCCAGGGAGAGCCAGTTCTTAGGGTGCAGCCTCTCTCCAGTGTCTTTCATTCACTGAGTTCATCTGGTTCTTTGCTGATAACAAGGATTAGGAATTGATGCCCAATGGAAAATAAAAAGAACCCAGCTCTACCTGACAAAATAATCACTCTGTTCCTCTTCTGAGGTGTTTCTCAAATGTTCTTGGCAAAGCAGTGCTTTTTCATCTCTGCATAAACGTTTGGGCACACCACCTTTATTATCACAGTGGTCTATAGCCATCTTTTCTGCTAGACTTTGACCTTGTTGACACCAGGTACAGTTTTATGCTCACTTTTGTAATAATAGGCACCCAAGTGTCTATCAAATTGAATTGTAAATGTAATCCCAACATTTTCCTCCTCAAATGGAGACCTTTTATAGCATTTCCCAATGATCATCATATGGCAAATATTCTTTGTGTTTCTTCTGGCATGAAATTCATTGGCTTACAAAATATTCTGCATGTGTCTCTCAGGAGCCAAAAAATAATAATAAAACAGATTTAGATCTGCACTTCTTTGCATTGAAATGTCTTAAGATAACCTTGACGTATCTGGAACCCTTCAGCCTTCTGTATCTTATGAAGAGTCTACTAGAGTAGCTCTTTGTTCAGTGTGTACCAAAAGAAAATTATTTTCCCAGATTCCACTTATTTCATCTGAAGTTTACCAGAACATTCTCCTGACTCCAAGACCTACTCCAAACTAGAAACAAGGACACAAAGTTGCATTCCAGGGCCCTACTAACTTGGTATAGAGATAGCGGGCAGCTTCACCTCCAGTTTTACTAATCAGCCCCCGCATCCTCCATTTTGCTGCTTCTTTCCTCCCCAGAATAGATGGGTTTGTGCTGAAAACTATCTCCTTTTTTGCCCCCTTTCTATTGCCTCTCTTCTATTTATCTGGGGAAACTTTTGAACAGAGAAGAGGGGATGAGTTGATGCCACCCTTCTTTACATTCTTCACAGAGAAGGATCAGTATGCATGCCTCAGGGGCAGCCCAAGGATTCAAGAGACCTGCATTTAGAAGTGCCACAGGGGGCGCCTGGGTGGCTCAGTCTGTTGAGCTTCCAGTTTCGTCTCCGGTCATAATCTCAGGGTTTTCAGGGTTCCTCGGTTCAAGCCCAGAGTCGGGCTTTGTGCTGACAGCTAGGTCAGAGCCTGGAGCCTGTCTTCAGATTCTGTGTCTCCCTCTCTCTCTGACCCTCCCCTGCTCACGCTCTCTCTCTCTCTCTCAAAAATAAATAAAAAATGTTTAAAAAAGAAAAAGAAAATGTGCCACTGACAAGGAACTTCTATAGAAACTTTTATCTCCCCTTAACAAATAAAGTATTTTTGGAAGATGAGAGTTAAAGGATAAAAGAGCAAATTTGCCTGTCTTTTCTAGAGGGGAGACCTGTAGTCAGGTATGTCTTTGCAAGAAAATTTCAACATGTTCTATCAGAATAAAGTCTGTGTAAACTGCCAACAGCTCTCCTGACAGCTACCTTTCCCAGGAAGTTTCCATGGAATGTCATCTTTTTTTTTTTTTTAATTTTTTTTAATGTTTTATTTATTTCTAGGAGAGAGAGAGAGAGAGACAGCGTGAGCAGGAGAGGGTCAGAGAGAGAGGGAGTCACAGACTGAAACAGGCTCCAGGCTCTGAGCTGGCTGTCAGCACAGAGCCCGACGCGGGGCTCGAACCCACGAACTGCGAGATCATGACCTAAGTGAAAGTGGGATGCTTAACCGACTAAGCCACCCGGGCGCCCCGAATGTCATCTTTTTTTAATTCACTTTTTAAAATGTTTGTTTTTGAGAGGCAGAGAGACAGAGTGTGAACAGGGGTGGGGCGGGGGGGCACAGAATCGGAAGCAGGCTCTAGGCTCTGAGCTGTCAGCACAGAGCCCAATGTGGGGCTTGAACCTAGGAACCCCGAGATCGTGACCTGAGCTGAAGTCAGAGGCTCAACCAACTGAGCCACTCAGGTGCCCTGGAATGTCATCTTTAAACTGCTGAGGAATAGAAGGTTGATTTTTAATTCTCTGTCACTTGAAACTTGCCAATTAAAATTTCATATTCTTTTCTCCTTAAGACCTTTGAAAAATGGAATATAGAAGCTTATCTAGAGATAACATAACTACTTACCTGGCTTGAAGCTTTTGTACCTGAGATGCTATAAATGTTCATTTCCTATCAATTGCAACTTGCAAGAATATCCACAGCTTTCCTGCTTTCCTTGCATCAGTCTTTTCATGAGGCATCTTCTTAATCCTATCCTTTGTCCCTATCTTCACCAGGCTCCTCAACATCTTGATCTGGGGGAAATCAAACTAAAACTAAGGACAGCTTTGCAGATTAAAGAAAGGATGAAGTTCCATGGGACAGAGTTACTTTTTATTTGTTTGTTTTCAGGGTACCATTGCTGAATGTAGACGTATTTACTATATTAATGCTCTCGTGCATACTCCTTCAAAGAATGCCATTGATGTCTCCTTTAGACTTTTAATTTATCAAATTATAAAAGTATTTGGTGTCAATACCACTTCTTTGGTAAAAGCTATGCTTTAAGATGAACGGTATAGAAGACACTGTTGTGGTCCTGTGTGTAGATCCCCTAGGCGCTCCTCATTCCTGTGCCTGCCAGTGGCTTTTAAATGCAAGGCTTCTTAATGAAAGGGTGATGGAGGGGTGAGATGCCAGCAGAGCTTTAACCAATGACAAAAGGAAGTTTTCGTCATCCACCCCCGCCCCAGGCAAGACAGCTCTAAGGCTTGTTCTATTTTATATCCTAGATGGTCCCAGCAGGAGGAAGCCCTGGGCTCACAGTGAAATCCTGCTCCTTATGCATTGCATTGACTTCTTTTTCTTTCCTGTCACACTTTCCCACTCTCCTCCTGGTACTTCTGCAATCCCCTCCCAAATCATTTATTTATTCATTTATTTATTTATTTATCTTTGTATTTATTTATTTAATTTATTTTAATAAAGATATTAAGAGTTAAAATCTTAGGCTCAGCATCTGCTTTTGGGCAATCCAAACTCGGCTACAAGCAGAGAGAATGTATTTTATTCTTTGAAAATGAAAATGTATGGTGTCATCAATAGTGCTAGAAAAATCTGTGTATAATTCAGAAAATTAGAAAGTTACCTTGAAAATAGACCAGGGCCTATGCGCTAAGATTTCTGCTTTATAATCTTAGCACAATCTTGTTCAGTCACTCATTTGAAATTTTTTTCCTGCGCTTTGATATAAAAGATATTAATGCAAATTGCTGTGAGGATATCAATAAATGTAATATCATTTCCTATTCATAAGAATATTAGATTGTGCATTTGAAGAGATTAGGGGAAACATGAAAAGATAAAAGATAGTAGATAAAATAATACGCAGAATGCCAAGGAATAAATGTTAAAATGTGACACAAAAATGGAGACAATATATACTGTAGGTATTCAGAGAGACATATGCATGGGCTAAAGGAAGTTATACAGGTACAGAGTGTAGAAAGCATGCATGTGGCATTCTGCGTCTGGCTGAAGTGGAAGATTCTTTTAAGGAAGTGCTAAAGTTAAAAATATGTAGGTACCATACATATTTTTATGTATGGTAAGGGAAGGAAGGGGAAAGGAAGGGGAAAAATAGTGACAGAGAGAGAGGGAGGCAAACCATAAGAGACTCAAATACAGAGAACAAACTGAGGGTTGATGGGGTGGGGGAAGAGGGGAAAATGGGTGATGGACATTGAGGAGAGCACTTGTTGGGATGAGCACTGGGTGTTGTATGTAAGTGATGAATCATGGGAATCTACCCCCAAAGGTACATTGTCCCAGTTTAGAAGAACCTGAATGTGCCTAAGGAGTTTGAGAAGTGAATACAATTTTTCTATTTTTTTAGTTTTTTTTTTTTTCTGTGTGGGGGGGGGGGAGGAGGGAGGGAGAGAGGGAGAATCCGAAGCAGGCTCCATGCTGTCAGCACTGAGCCTGATGTGGGACTCTATCCCATGAACAGTGAGATCATGACCTGAGCTGAAACCAAGAGCCAGACACTTAACTGAGCCAACTAGGTGCCCCATCTTTTTTTTTTTTTTTTTTTTAACAAAGTGCTCACATGTATTCATTTTCTCATCTGTTCACTAAACACATAACTAAACTGCTCTATTTAAAGACATTATACTTGGTTTTGTTACCTGGTGAAAAGAAGACAGAGAGGAGAAAAGGATGACTCATATGATTAAGAAGGTAGGAAATTTAAGAGAGAATTGAGTTTAATTTTAGACAAATTCTGAATTTATTTAGTTATTCACTAACCTTTTCAGCAACATTTAAGGCAGGCCACATTGAATCCAATATACCGGTCCTGTGTGGTTTTTACAACATGAGAGATCTTCACAAATTTCTCTCATTCTCTGATTCTATCCATTCTCAGGTACTTTTGGAAACCTAATTGGCACCAAAGTTTAAGATATTTCTCAAAGGATTATGGTATTGGCCAGCAGCCAGATTAGGATGTGGGAGGCAAGAAGGCTCCAGCCAAAGTAAATTCACCCTGAGCTTGGCCCCAGACCTCTTCTCTTCAAGGGCTTTTTCATCCTTCTCAACTCATTGAAGTCCACAGTGGTTTCTGGCTTGGATCAGCTCTGCAGGTTCCAGAAGTGACGGGGAAAATGGGCTCTGGGTGCCAGTCGAGCACCTTGTCAGGTGCGTTGATTTCAGGAAACCTTTGATGTCTGTTTCGGTCTTGGAGATCTGGGGAAATGTGATCGATAGAGTTGATGTTTCCACACTTTATGGCATGTTAAGAGCCATTATGAGGCTTTTACTTATAAGCTTGTTACCCATGTCTGAGGGTAGGTTTCTCTATTGCCTCCTCGGGTCTCCCTCCTAATTTTGATGTGTGAATGATTGGTGGTGTTTGTGCTGTTATATTGCACATCAACCAACAACGGCCAGAATGTTTCTGGATCCACATTTAATGTAGTCACAGCATTCTGCAACCAGATGATGATGGCAAGCTAATGGGCTTCGCCTTCATGAAATAACTGCATCCCAGGTTTGAAGGTTTATGCTTGTTTTATTTGTCAGCATTACCTAAGTGGATACAAGAAGAAATAGTAGCTTTATGCTGACATATTATCAGGTCCATTTACAGAGAAAGACAGATGTTACGACCTCCTACTGCTGCTCTGTTCTTTGAGCCATGTCAAATTTTATCCCCCTTCATTCTTAGCAATTAAATGCTACAGCCCTTGGGGCTCACCTATGTGGCCGAGATGAAGAGACTTTTCAAGTTGCATATTCCATGGAGTTGCATCTTAATTCCAGTATGCTGTTATCCAGCAGAGTTTGTAACTGTATTGGCTCTGTCTCTCTCTCTCTCTCCCCTTTTCCCTTTCCTGCCTCCTTGCTTGTCTTTTAATCCATCAGCATTTACAGTCCTGGAAATAATATGACAGAAAAACCAATGCCTCCCCAAGTAAGAGAAATTAACAAGATGCTTGCTTGGTCTTAGCGCTCTCTCTCTCTCTCTCTCTCTCTCTCTCTCTATATATATATATATGGCTTTGCTCCTTTTCTCTCAAATCCTTTTTTCTTCAATTACTACTGAGTCTTTAACACTGGATAATGACTATGCTTTTCCCAGTCTGCCTTTCTGGTAACTCATTAATGCTTAGCTATGAGAAGAAAAGGGCAACAACTCTATTAACACAACCAAATTGATTTATAATCAGACATGAACCAGGAACTGGGTAAGAGTTTTACAAGCACTAAAGGTTAATAGAACCATTCTCTGGCCCATTTTCCAAACCAACCTTCTTGAGGTTTTCTGACCTCCACCCCCAGATATACAGCCATTGCATAAGAGATTTGGGCAAGGGTGGCATGTAGGTGGAAGTTATTTATGCACATTAATAGCTTTTTCAACTATTGTACACTTATTAGAGAACCCCTACATGTAGCCCTCGCTAGGTTCAGAATAAAGCAATTATATAGTTAATTTAGCATTTATCTGGAAGACTGGGTTGCAAATTTAAAAGCTTGTTCAGTTGAAACTAGCACTTATTCGTTTCATGGGGATTTTTACACAGGCTCTCTTTGCCAGTATGAAACACTCACATGCAGCTCTTTTTTGGAGTTGACTAGTTGAGTCAGATCGCAGTCCCAATCAATTTCAGAATGAACAGCCAGCTGGATAGAAGCCATGCTTTCCATTACTGGTTAATTGCTTTGGTATGAATGTGATTGGCTAATCCATCCTCCAAAGCCAAGAAGACTTTAAAGTAGTTTGTATGTGGTAATTCACTGGTAGGGAGGAACCAAACAACAGCACTCCCCCTTCTGTGCTATTCTCTGATTGTCCTGAAGAATAGTTTCACCTTCCTCCCTCTCCCCATAAATAGAGTTTCTTTTGCATATTAGTGTTTTGAGGTTTTATTTCATTGATTTTTTTTTTCTCAAAAATGACTCTGCCACAGTTTCATAGAGTCTCTCCCCTTCGAATTCAAGCCTTGCTTCCTAGTGAGAATCCGTGGCAGGATTGCCATATTCCCACTGCCAGAGCTTCAAAGGTTTTACTAATTCTTTACCTGCTAAATGACTCATTTGCTGAAATTCTGTCATGCACCTGAGGTGTCATATTAGTTTTCCTTTGACTCATTCGATAAAATGTGGCATAATAAGGACAACCCAATCAGCATAATTCCTCTCTTTGGAGCCAGGATGGTCTGATTTATGTTCCCTTCCTTAATAAGAGACCCTGAAACACTGGATATAAATAAATTGGTACCTGAAAATAGTCTGTCCCCAGGAATTACTCTCCACAATGCAATAAAACAGCCTTGTTATGAATTCAGTTGGCAGGATGCTAGCATCACAAATCAAAATTGACCCTACCTCTGTCAGCTGTGCTTAGCACATTAATATAAAGAAATGGGTTTCTATTCAGCGCCATGGACTTAGATGCCTTTCCTACCAATGTAGAATGTTTTCTGGAGCTGTGTCTAGGGAAATCATGGTACATATTCACATATTGTTCCTAGCTGTCTCTGTGACGAAAGCTTATAGGAGAAGCTCATTCTCTTCCTTTCACTTCAAGAATATGTCCCAGGGGTGCCTGGGTGGTTCGGTCAATTGAGCATCCGACGTTGGCTCAGGTTGTAATCTTGCGGTTCATGAGTTTGAGCCCCTCATTGGGCTCTGTGCTGACAGCTCAGAACCTGGAGCCTGCTTTGGATCCTGTGTCTCCTCACTCTCTGCCCCTCTCCCACTTGCATTCAGTCTGTCTCTCTCTCAAAAATAAATAAACATTGAAAAAATTTTTAAAGAATATGACCCAATTATTACTTCTCTCTCTCCCATTTTATTCTTTAAAATATAATACCCAAGTAATAGAAAAAGTACTCCACTAATTCCACTGCCAACATTAATACCCAACTAATAGCAAAGTCTTCTATAGAGCTTACTATATACTACCATAATAAAAAAGCCTACCAGGTGCTAGTAAAATAACTTGGGCACAGATATGCTATGAGAAATTTGTGTCTGTTGTTTTGATGCACAAACAGTTAATAGGCTTTAGCCTATGATGCCTACTTAAAATTGAAGTGATCCCTTGACTATTCATTTTTATTAATGTTATTATCTGCAGTTGTGAAACCAATGCTTAAAAGATGTCTTCTTTTATTAATTCATGTATTATTAACCTTCCAGCATGTATTGTAGCTTAACTGGTATTATAGAACCCAAGTCATTTGTTTAAGTAATGCAGACAAAATAAGAAGAATTGGCCATATATTTCAGAAGCAGGATTTAGTTCAGTTATAGGTAAACAGGCTGTCCTTGGCAGACAAAGTTGATACTACTTCTCAGGTGGAAGATGTTGGCTAATGCTATCTGAGAAGCACCGAATGAGTCCCTGTAACCTCAACCAACACTAGGACTTGATCTGTTTCTTCTGGAACCTGAAGTGCTATCATTAGGATTTCTTCCCTTTGATTCTAACTTTGCCATCCTTGGACAGGATGGTTATAGTAATAGGACTTCTAAGAAGACTTGAGGAGTCTTAGGGACATGTATGAAGAAACCCTAATCAGATGGAGGTGCCATACACAAGGGGACTAATATACCAGAGAAAGAACCAAATGACTGTAATGTGAGAAATATGGTTGTCACCACTGTTCACTTGGAATTGAGGCCACCAAATTCTAGGGTGAAACAATGCTTGCCTGAAGATAAGTAATAAAACTTGAAAAGAAAATATGTATACAGACTGATTTACATTTTGCTATTTTTGCCATTTAAAAGAATGCCTATAAGGGGCACCTGGGTGGTTCAGTTGGCTAAGCATCTGACTTCAGCTCAGGTCATGACCTCACCATTTATGAGTTTGAGCCCCAGGTTTGGCTCTGTGCTAACAGCTCAGATTCTGGAGCCTGCTTGGGATTCTGTGTCTCCCTTTCTGTCTGCCCCTCCCCTGCTCCTGCTCTGTCTCTGTCTCTCAAAAATAAATAGACATTGGGGGAAAAACTTAAAAAAAAAAAAAAAAAGAATGCCTACAATAATTTAATTGGGGGGGGGGGAAGCAGATTCCAAACTTTTACCAACAAAATAGCTCAGGAAAAGTACCAAGACAGAGTTAAAAAACAAAAACTAAAACTAAAAGGTACAGAAGAATATATGTGAATTCTCAGACAAATTTGTTCTTTTTTACTATAGTCACAGGCCATCCTGGGTACTTACACCTAAGTCTGGTATGTCTGTACTCCACCCCGCCTGCCCTGAAATACTCGTCAAAAAAGCTAATAATTTTGTTTTATCAACACATCTCCAGTTGTGTTCTTAAAGGGAAGATTCAATTCCGACTTCTTCCCTAAGACTGCTGCCCTACTCAGTGTTCCTGCAGAAGTTAAGGAGTCCTTCCAACCTTTGAGCTGTGCTTCTCCTAATTAAAATAAGAATGATATATTGAATACTTACTAAGTCTGAGGTCCTTTAATGATTGATTTTATCTATCTGGCTGTCTGTATCTCTCTCTCTCTCTAAATTACTGGGCACATATTAATATGTGAGGATTCCCTGGATCTCCTCATCCTCATGATAAGGAGAATTCTGTCTTTAGAATTCATGTATATGTGTGTGTGTGTGTGTGTGTGTGTGTGTGTGTATACACATATATATGTCCGCGCAAACACACACACACTAATAGAATTATTATAACTTTCTATAAGGTAGATATTACTTCCTTAACAGATCAGAAAACTGAGACATGAGAGATGACATAATTTGCTCAAGGCCACATAGCTAACAAGTGGTACAGCTAGGATCTGAACCCAGGTGGTCTGCCTCCTGACTCCATGGACTGCTGTTTATAAATGGCGACCACATAAGCCAAGCCCATGACCCCTCCATGTCTCTGAATACTTCCCCTCCTACCCTTATCCCAGTTGACTTATTCCTTTCTACTTCTTAAAAGTCATAGTCACTTCTATTCAATTTAACACTAGTTACTATTGTTTACTCTTTATTCTCTAAATTCTCCCTGCCCAACTAACCTGAGCCAGTATCTAGAAAGAGACAATGTTATATGGTTCTTCTGTGGCTCTGGAGGATCTGGTACTTGAAAAGGGACCAATATACAACTCAACGGAAACTTGAGATACTGGAAGTTTTAGAAATTAGGTTTAAATATATGGGAGATTGCAAGTTTAGGAGTAACTTTCATTGCGTAAAACAAGAAAAATTCAAATAATAGTAGCTTAAGCAAGATTTACTTTCTTCTTGCCTGAAGGAAGTTTAGGGAGCTAAAATGAGAGCTTTTATGATGTCTTCAGGGACGCAGGCTCCTCTCTTTGTGGTCTGTCACCTTTAGTAGTTAGTGTCATCCTCAAGGTCACTTCTGAGTCAGATATTACATCTGCATTTCAGACAGCACAGAAGAGGAAGGGCACTTTTCAATGGGAAGACTTTTTAAGGAGACTTCCCGAAGGTCTCATATAATACTTCAGCTTATATCTCACTGGATGGACCTCTTCATATGAATAACGTGGCTGGGAAAGGTAGTATTTAATTTAGCCTATCAATGTGGACACTTAAAAATCAAGATTCTAGTAATAAATTGGAAGGGGGGAATGGATATTAGAGAGGCAACTAGTGAGTTTTGCCACAAGAAGCATGAAAATCAGTTTCTTCTCAGGTACCTTTAATTTTTTATGAAAAGGTTTCCATTCATGACCATGACCCATGCATGAAATTAAAATATATTCTGGGTAGCTCCTGGGAGTTGCAGCACACCTGGAAGTCAGCCTGGTCTCCCTTCTATAGAAATAAGTATCAAGAAATATCCCTGAGC